TCCACAGTGAAGCTTGAATAATATTGTAATTAGTTGTTCTCATACTTTTTAAGTGGTTTTTGTGATAATAAAGTGGCGGCCCAACCCCATTACAAATAAACAGAATTTGCAGAGGAGGAGGCCTTGAAATCAGGATTTTAAAAAGATTACCCGGTGATTGTAACGTGCAGCCAAGGTTGAGAACCACTGTTCTAAAGCCAGCCCACTTTCCTTGGCTCATGGCCCCTTCCTCTGTCTTCAAAGCCAGCAATGGCAGGTTGAATGTTTCCATTGTTGCATTGCTCTGATTCTCTGACTACAGCTGGGGAGTTCTCTGCTTTCAAGGACGCATGTGATTAGATCAGGCCCACCTGGATAATCCAGGTAGTCTCCCACCTCAAATCCTTAATCTTAATCACATCTACTTATTTCCCTTTGTGGTGTAGGCTAACTGTTTAAAGGTTCTGGGGACTAGGGAATGGGTATAGTTGCAACAATTATGCTCTCAATCACAGCATCTGTATTCTCTGCCAGCACTCTGATTTTAGGAGCAAAGACATGTCTTATTTATCTCTGTGTACCTAGCTCCTGGCCCATAGGAAGAACTCAATACATTAAAAATATATATCAGAACTCACTTTTTTATTACATAAATAGGTAACTACTTGGAAGAAGGGAATAGAAAAAGATCAGAAGAAAATCGTACCATTTAAAAGGAGAATAAAAGAAAAATGGTATGTTAGTAAAACTATTATTTTCTCTCATCCACTTTGAGATTCAAAATACCCCCACCCCTTCTTCCCCACCATGATTAGCAAAACAAAGAGAAAAGTAAGAGGGAGTGTTGTCTATCTAGATAACAGATCAAAGAGGGGGACTTGAACAATCTGAAAATTCTGGAAAAGAGAATGATAATTTGTTTTCCTTCTCAGCTAGTTAAAAAGCCAATAGAGCTGGAGGAGATATTTGACATTTTATTCCTCTATTCTCAAAAGAAAAAAAGACAGACTATGTACAAAATGTGCTGGAAATAAGAATGTGTATCTAAAGAAGTCTCCATTTTTAATTTACACACATATATATATATGTTTTAACAATGAACCCACTCTATTGAAATGTTAAAATATCTTAAGTGATCAATTCTGTCATTTTCATTCAGTTGAAACAGCTTTGACAACTGTAAGAAATGCTTTAATCAGGGGTCTGAAGAGCATGCTAACTGTATAAAATGCCAATTAGGCTTGGTGATTTTAAACCTAATGTTTATCCTAAACACAAGAAAAAGTAAACAAGAGAATGGGAGAAAAATATTTGCAAGCAACATGTAACAGAATTGTCTCATGATTCTAATAAACCAAGAGATCCCATAAAGCAAAAAGAATAAAAAGGAAAAATGATAGAGATTGTCAATTCAAAGGAGATAACCCTATGAAGAGATGTTCAGCCTCATTAACTGCAGAGAAATGCATGCATGCTAAGTAGGTCTGGGATGAGGCTGGAACACCCACGGGAAGTCTGCTGAGTAACCCTGGCTGAAAACCAGCAAGGAGACCTCTGCATTATGCCAACCTTAGCAGAGACTCTACTACTTGACTATTTGACTTGGAATTTTAGGTGTTCGGTTATTTATGCCCCCTTTCTCTATAAGTCTATAATTTGATGGCTTTTGTGAGTAGCAATGCAAAGATAGATTAATGCTGTTGAAGTCCAAGATTTCCCCCCCTCCTTACAATATCTCTTCTTATGTCACTAAAATAAGACATGTTGTAGAATGTGTGTGTGTGTGTGTGTGTGTATGTATGATCATCAAAACAATAGCCCCAAATCATATTTCACCCATATATTTATGATACTTCGGGTTTTTTAAAAAAATATTGAACTCATTTGAATTTTAAAAGCATTATTTTTTACCATTTTACAAAAATTTGAAAAATTCTTCATTTAAACAGTTCATTTAAAGCCACATCAGACAGCCCAGCCTGCATGGCTCAGTGGTCAAGCATCGACCTATGAGCCAGGAGGTAACAGTTCGATTCCCGGTCAGGGCAGATGCCCAGGTTGCAGGCTCAATACCCTGTGTGGAGCATGCAGGAGACAGCTGATCAAAGATTCACTCTCATCATTGATGTTTCTATTTCTCTCTCCCTCTCCTTTCCTCTCTGAAATCAATAAAAATATATTAAAAATTTTAAATAAAGTCACATCAGACTCTGAAAGTTAGGAATTTTTAAACCCTG